CAATCCACGACCCATTTTCAGTGCCCTGGCAGAGGCAAGGAGGTTGTCACCCAGGATTTTGCGTTACATGGCCTTATTCATCTTCCCGTCGATGCGGTGAAGTTGGCCTGTGCCCTTAGAAGAAAAACACCCCCAAAACATAATACTTCCACCACCATGTTTGACGGTGGGGATGGTGTTCTTAGGGTCATATTCTGTATTTTTTCCTCCAAACAGTCGAGTTGGGCAAAGCTCTTTTGGTCTCATCTCACCACAGCACCTTCTCCCAGTCTCTCTCGGAGTCATTAATATGTTCATTGGCAAACTTGAGGCGGGCCTGGACGTGAGCAGAGGAACCTGGCGTGCACTGCAGGATTTTAAACCATTACGTCTCAGTGTATTACCAATGTTTTCTTTGGAGACTGTGGTCCCAACTGCCTTGAGATCATTAACCAGCTCCTCCCGTGTAGTTCTTGGCTGATTTTTAGCCTTTCTCATGATCAAAGAGACTCCATGAGGTGATATCTTGCATGGAGCTCCAGGCCTTGGTCGACTGACAGTAATGTTGTACTTCTTCCGCTTCCGAATAATTGCACCAACAGTTGTCACCTTCTCATCCAGCTCCTTACTTATGGCTTTGTAGCCCATTCCAGCCTTGTATAGGTCAACAGTTTTGTCCCTGACATCTTTAGACAGCTCTTTAGTCTTGCCCATGGTGGAGATGTTGGAGTGTCACTGAGTCTGTTGGCAGGTGGCCTTTTATACAGGTGACAATTTGGGAACAGGTGTCTCTCATGCAGGTAACGACTTCACTGAGATTAGGGTGTGTCAGTGGTCTGTGGAGCCAACATTAGTCATGGTTTTTAGGGGATCAAATACTTATTTCCCTCAATGAAATGCAAATTATTTTTTATTTAAACATTATTTAATTTTCTAGATTTTCTTTTTGATATTCCATCTCTCACTGTTAAAATGAAGCTACCATAAAAATCATAGACTGTTTAATAATTTGTCAGAGTACAAACTTTCAAAATCAGTGGGGGATCAAATACTTATTTCCTCCACTGGTGTGTGTGTGTGTGTGTGTGTGTATTATATATATATATATATATATATATATATATATATATATATATATATTATTATATATATAGTGTGTGTGTGTGTGTTCAGTGGTCTTGAGGTTGCAGACTAGCTTCTTCGAGTGTGAGAAGACTTTGTTGAGCATATATGAGTTTCCTTCCGTGTCATTAATTACATATGTTATGCATATTTGTTACTCATGTTTATTCATATCACATTACTTGTAACCAATGAATTGTAATTACTTTTGTTCTCTGTTAACCAAGGAAATGTAACAACACCCAACTTGGAGAATATATAACCTTTGTAACTTTGGTCTGACCTTTGGTGATCTCTGGGTTTTTGCCAGGCACTTCTCTCCGGCCATGAGTTTTCAATAGATATATTACTTTGGAGCATTAATTGTGACTCTGAGATTTAACTGTTTTCTGTTTTATTCAGAAATTTCTTCCACACATGCCACAGTTTGGGAACCACTGGTCTATACCTAACAAGTTTTTCTTCAATATTTTGCACAATAATTTTATAGAAATAGGAATGAAGTGCTGGTGGGAACAAAAATGTTCAAAGAGCAGTGGCTGGGGACCTCAGACTCACATGTCTACCACTGTTCTGAGGATTTTGTTTGAGCAAGTCAGTTAGTTTGTCACTTCACTGCATCATAGTTTATTGTATAAAACTGAGAATTTCAAGTCGCTCTGCCACTTGTCACTAAATCATGAGTACAAATCACATCCTCCCATACGAAATGACCGGATGCCAGTCGCTTTGTCACCTGGTAGTGTGAAGTAGACAGAATGAACTGACTAACTTGCACCTTCTGCACTTTGGCCCTGTGGTTTCTCACTCTGATATCTACAGAAATAGTGTACTATCACTTCTTTATTTCTTTGTGTCTTGTTTGCCCTACTCCCCCTTACACTTTTAGAAGGTTTTCTCCATCTCTCTCTCTAGCTAGCCTTCATGGTTTAGCTTTCCCAGTTGCAATGTTCTGAGGTGGCAGCATTTGCATGATTGGTCAGTGACCACACATTGAGAATGCAGTGGGCCACAAAGGTGTCTACATATGTGCACTCCGGTGTTCGCCTGGCACATTCTGTTTGTCCCAAGTGTTCTTCCCTTATTTTCTATAGGGCTATATTAGAAATGACCACACACCTCTCTCTTTTGCTCTCTTTTCACCCCGCACATAGTTCGCAAACAGAAATTATCCTGGTCCTGCTGATGGCCATTCCGTCCCTGTTATACAGGCAGAAAAAATAAATTATGTGAAATTTAGACTTACTCTTACTCTTCAGGCATCTGTTACAAACACCAAGTGGTGGAAAACAGTGCTTTTGGATATATGGCATTTCACCATGCAGGAGCATCTGCAAACAAGGAGATGTTTTCATATGGGAAGGTTTTAGCTATGCAGGCCAGCAGGAGACATTCATTTTTCACAACGTTCTCAGTACATGCACTCACTCTGCAGAGGTAAGCTTATTAGAGCAACTAGAGCTCAAGTCCTATGAAAACATTAGGTTTATTAGGCATACACTGATGCATAATAGTGATAACATGGCACTGTCATAAGGAATTCTGTCCCCTCTGCTGTCCACAGCAATCTTTTTCACAAAACTTAGAAAGTGAAGTGATGTGAAGCGGTCATGTTACAAAATTAACGGATAGCTTCCACATGCATAGGATCACACCAGAGTTAGCTGGAAGCAAATCAGACCACCCATTTCAGGAGGACCAGAGATTGGTCCTCTGGACTGCTCCCGGGATAGAAAACAGCTTCCACACTTGACCAAACATACCAAACTTGCAGTGCGCTGTATACATTTCAAGTATACTATTGATGTATTTATCAGCATCACAAGGGGTGACTTCTGATGATGGACTGAGCTTTGATTTGTATCTTAAGCTTGGTAGCTGGAAACTGGGATTGCCTGCATCTTGTACACATATGAGTACATTAAACACACTTGTCGTTCTCCATCATCCTCTTCTTGTACAAATGGAAAACCTTTCCATTTTTCTCTCGCCAGCTCAGGGTGGCGTCATTTCCCGCTTCTTGTGTTCTCAAATTTTTCTTCATCTATAAAAGAACATAAAACATTATCACCAGTGGCACCAAACGCAATTTCATCAGTTTTTCCTCTGTTTACTGCAGGATTTGTGATGCTTCAGATCTTCACATTATCAGAGTAACTACCTTAACTACCATTTTAATAGAAACATTTGATGGACTGATCTCAACTGATCTCAATAACTTTCTTGTTTTGATGCTGCCATCATAAACCTCATGCATCCTTTTGTACAGTACTGTATAAAAGTCAGAGAACGTCCTTCTTTTATTTAAAATACTTCTACTACTAAACTTTAGAGATGTGGAAAAATATCCCTGCAGATCTTTTTGAAAAACTGAAAGTAAGTCTTCAGATAAGGATGAAAGCTGTATTTTTTACCTGACACTGAAAAATAAATAACGTCTAAGGGCTGTAAGGAAGGCTGTAACTGAATTGAAATAAATAATAATAAAATAAATAAATGAATGGTGGACATTTGCACAGGACTGTAGTTGTTTAAGCCGGTTTTTCCATGGAGGAAAAAATACATGCATTTTCAAAAATCACCCCATTGACCTCTGCTGTACACAAAAATGTTCCAAGACTTATAAAATTTGCATTCCCTCTGAGTGTCATTGATAGTAGGCGCCAGTGCAGTTTTTCTTGCTGCGTCCTGCAAAGACCTACTGTCGCCTGACTGGCTAACCACAATACAATGAGTTCATTTATTTGCATAAAGTTGAAATATCCAGCACTTTTTCGCCACACAGCAAGACAGGCTTTATCACACTGCATAATGCAGCAGAGCTCTCCATAAAAATGTATAGGGTGCAAAGAGGCAAAGTTGCACTGTGAGTCCCTGAATTATGAGGTCATTAAATAGCTGAAATACCAGTATTGCTACACACATGCTACAAGCAGGTTAACACTGCTGTCCACTCCTGAAAGCAAGGCAACGATGCTTCAGCACTGTTATATAACTTACATCATTTCCACACTTTACACAGTTGGCTGTTTTTCCTGGGGTATTTTGGTCACATTGTCAATTTTGAAACAATTATAAATTGTGTCCAGCTGGCAAGGCAGAGGGATGCATTGTTGAGCTACAGAATATTGCACACCATTATAAATAGCACAATAAAGGCTGGTTTTAGGACAGAATGCCCCTTTAAATACACCGTGGCTGCTGGTCTACTAGGATACTGGATAAAATCAATGCCTCATCTGAACTGTCAAATGTGCTGTGCTTTGTATCTGCACTGCAACACCAAATGTGACTTTTGCTGAAAAATCCATTAGAAAAAAATAGTTTTTTGGAGGTAATGCTAATTCAACCAGTATCTAAGCACAAAGCTTAAAAAATACAGTATAAACACATGAAAGAGAGACTGCTGATACACAATCAGTCAGAAGACTGTTACCTGTGATGTTAGCTCTATGGCTAACTGCAGCTGTATCTAAGTCAACACACTGCCCCCAACTTCGCCAGTTATCTACATTATTTAGCTTCAGGTCAGTGTGCAGCACTAAGCTGTGGCCACATAGTGATGTAATTATGTTAACCTTTGTGTTTTTACTGTTTATGGTAGGCAAGTTGGCCAACGGACATGGAGAATATTCTCCATTCTGCTAATCTTTCTGTTGCTAATCTAACGTCAACTGCAAAAGTCTAGTGTGAATGCAACTATCAAACTGTTGCCCTTCATTCTTTTATTAACTATGGGTGAAATTTTCAAAGATTAAAAAAAAAATTCCCAAAGAGAATCAATCGCCTTCATCTGGATGCTACTGGTAAACTGTAAAAATACAAATGCATCCTTAGAAAGCAACGTGCAGATAAAGATAAGAGAGCTATAAGTGAATGTCATTACAGATTTCACTGACCTGACTCAGTATGGCTGTCTTCACAGCAGGGTCATTCAGATCCTTTATTCCATTCGAGGTTATTGTCAGTTTCACTATGCGTTGTCTCGGTGCTGGAGAAACAGAAATGCCAAAGTGCAATAACTAATGTTCACTGATAAAAACATGAAAAGTGTTTTTACTTTCATGTTGATAATATGTATGTATGTAATGTTGAGCTCCATATTAAAGCCATTACAACAAAAACATTTTAAATGCTAGTTTTAGGCTGGAATACCCCTTTAAATGCACTGTGGCAGATGGTCTACCATGATACTGAATACAGTCAGTGCTAACAGTAAACTATCATATATGTTGTGCTTTTTTATTTGCATTGCAACACTAAATGTGACTTTTGCTATAAAATTAACTGACCAATTGGGGAAAATTAAGTTTCTAACATTGATGTTAGTAATAATTTTTCAAGTAATTCAGTTCACTTCTTTTAGTGAGTTACATCTATGACTGAACTCCAGTCACTGTCACCATGGAAGAATATGTGTCAAACGGACCTTTGTAACACATGAAACGTGTCTTTACGTCACACAGTGCGTCATCCCATTGTCCATTCCAAGCAGTCACCATTGAGACGCAGCTTGCGTTGCCTGTGGGGCTCCAGGGTTGTCCTTCCTTCCAGTAGCGGAATGAGGTGCTTCGACGGTCAGACCATTTCCAGTTGTCGAAGAAAAGGCCTATCCATGCGTATCCTACACTGCCCAGAAGATCTGAAATGTGCTGATGTTCCTCCTCATTGTGAATGGTGGCCAGGTCAGTGTAGTTCTTTCGGCAATAATCCTGAGCATCTCTCCAACTGGCTCGTTTGCTAACACGGATAAATTGTTTAGTCGGTTCTACACACACACATATACACACACATAACACACACACACACACAGAAAGAAGCATAATTATTCACACATCTTTAAAACTTGCTTATTTTACAGGCCATGTTTAAATGATGATATCCTTTAAAACAATCTCAATGGCACATTGTCCACCCACTAAGACCAACCCTATCCAACTATAATCTGTCCTATTTAGCAGGAAACTACCCAATCTGGCAACACCGCATATCCTGCACAAGAAGATACGTAGTCTTACAGGGTCAGATGTGATCTTGTATCAAAAATACTCAAGACTCTAGAAGATATAAAGCCATAATTAAATATTGGACACAAAAAACATTGTATGTTTATGTCCTTGTATTACGATGAGTAAGCTAATATCTTCTGGTTACATCTGTGAAACATATGCAGGATGTTGGGTGGAAAAACATTACTTACAGCTTCACTGGTTGTTTAGAAAACAAACAAAATTGGTCATCTTTGCATTGCAGACATTGTGAACCCTCATTCATATTAACATTATAAACACTAAAATTACAGAGAAACCGAAGTTGCTAGGTTTCTTTAGAATACACAATAGTTTTTCAAAACACTCCTTATTATTTTGCTTAACACTCAACAAGTTATGCTGAAGTTGTGAAAAATAGGAATTCCTCTAAACAGAGGTAAAAACTGGCCGAGTTTCAGGTTGTAGGTATTGAGTAGAGAACATGCTGTAAAATGAAATTGGTTATTTTACTATTGGCATTTTTATTTTCTTCATATTTTCATTATTGGTATTTACATATTGTTACTCACCGCTGTAGCAAGCAAATTCCCAAAGATTTGTGCAATTAGCATCAATCCATCCACTAAGATTATATTTTGCTGCACAAAGTCCATCTCTGTCTCCACCATCTGGTTCCAGACTTCTCCAATTCATGTATTGTGGGATCTCTCCTGAAGACCAGCCCCAGCGTCTCGGGGGGCCTTGTTCAGTCCAATCCACAAAGATCCTACAAATTTAGGATCTACTGCTGCCATCAGCTGCTTCATCTCCTCCATGTTGTCTACAGTAGCCAGGTCAGTGTACTTCTCTCTGCAGTAGCTCTGAGCCTCCAACCAAGTCTTACTCTCATTCACAAAGTAATATTGCTGAGAGAGAGCTGAGGCTGCACTACAGAGACCTGAGAGACATCAGCACAGCCATATGAGTCATTTGTAAAAGACATTTAACAAAGCATGCTGGATAGGAAATGTTGGGATTGTCTTTTTTCCCTCCAAAGGTTGTATTGCTGATAAAACAAAGGCAAAGTTTGAGTGACAGTGCAGTGAAAAAGTTTTTACCCCCGAATGATTCTTCTGCTTTTGTGAATCACACTTGTTTCAGATCTTCAAACAAAATTTCATACAAGACAAAGACAATCTGAGTAAACACAAAACATGATGATCACTTCAATAAACACTTAGACAGTTAGCTAACTCCAGCTGGCCCTGTGTGAAAAAGTAAATGCACCCTTAGTTTCTCAGTCAACCAATTAACCAAATTTTGTTGATAATTAGGATTGAGTACTGGACACACCCAGGCTTGATTACTGTCAGCCCTGCTGAATTTTCACTCAGAGTGCAGTTACTCTGACCTTAGGGGCCTCCTCATATGAAAATGACTTTCAATTAACAATAAAATGACATTTAATTAGCTTTTTGCTTGTTTACTGCTTTTGTTATGTCTCATAACATGATGTTCAATGCACTCTACTACACCCACTAGCATCTAATATTAATTGTTTACATTAGACTAAATATTAATTATTTAAAATAATAAATTTCCAAATATGTCATGATGCAGGTTATGAATGATCCATTTTGTAAAGCAAAGCAAAGTTTATTTATATAGCGCTTCTTACAACAGGTGCTGTCACAAAGGAGCTTTACAGAAAATCCAGGTCCGAGCCCCCATGAGCGTCGCCAGTGGTGACAATGGCATGGAAAAACTCCCTAAGAGCAGGAGGAAGAAACCTTGAGAGGAACCAAGACTCAGCAGGACGACAGCACCAACACTCCCAGTTTGCCATAATACTCTATGACCAAGAACCCCCACATCTGCACCTTTTATATGACAGGGAAAACTAATTACCAAAGGCTCGACTAAACAAGTTTTTAGGCTAGACTTAAAGACTGAGGCTGTGTCTGAGTCCCGAACACTGACTGGGAGATTATTCCAAAGCTGGGGGGCTTTGTATGAGAAGGCTCTCCCCCCTGACGTAACTTTATTAATTCTAGGTACTAATAGTAAGCCAGCAGCTTGTGATCTAAGTAGGCGTGATGGTTCATAGTAGGAGAGAAGTTCACTCAGGTACTGAGGGGCGAGTCTGTTTAGTGCTTTGTAAGTCAGTAAGAGAATTTTATAATCAATGCGAAATTTAACTGGTAACCAGTGTAGGGTTGATAGAACTGGGCTGGTCAAACTTTCTGGTTCTTGTGAGGACTCAGCGTTGTTAAGCTGAAGCTTGTTAAGGCTTTTGCTGGAACATCCAGCCAGCAGGGCATTACAGTAATCTAGCCTTGAAGTAATAAATGCATGAACTAACTTTTCTGCATCCTGTAGAGAGAATTCATTTCTTAATTTAGCAATATTGCGGAGATGCAGGAAGGCTATTCTAGTAATATTAGTTATATGTGCATCGAAGGACAGATCAGGGTCTATTGTGACACCCAGATTTTTTACAGATGAACCTGACGCAACTGAGAAATTGTTAAGTTTAAGTGTTAAATTAGACAGTTTGTTTCTTGCAGCTTTTGGACCAAGAAGCAGAACCTCTGTTTTATCTGAGTTTAGAAGGAGAAAGTTACTCGACATCCAGTCTTTTATGTGTTTTATACAGTCCTCAATCTGGCTAAGTTCAGTTTTATCCTTCGGTTCGCTTGATATATATAACTTGGTGTCATCGACATAGCAGTGGAAATTGATGCTGTGTTTACTGATAATGGTGCCCAGTGGTAGCATATATATTGTGAATAATATAGGTCCCAAAACAGAGCCTTGTGGAACACCATACTTTACTTTTGCGAGGACAGATGATTCACCGTATACATTAACGAACTGATAGCGATCAGTGAGGTAAGATCTGAACCAGGAAAGAGCTATTCCTGTTACCCCTACAAGGTTTTCTAGTCTATCTAGTAATATAGAGTGATTTATCTAATCAAATGCCGCACTAAGATCAAGGAGGACTAGCAAAGACACATTTCCTTGGTTAGAGAATAATAAAAGATCTCTGTCTCTGTACTATGATGTGGCCTAAAACCAGACTGAAATTTTGAAGTGGTTAGAGTGAATGAGCCATTAAGGTTATGAATAGCATTATGAATAATTGGGACCATGATGGGTGTACAATGATGTCAGTATCTATATGAGGGGCGTAATAAAAAGTTTAAGGGCCCTTTAAGGGTTTGAGGATACAGAGACAGGGCTAGTTCAATGGTAGAGGGATGGGCAGACAGGGCTGATTCATTGGTAGTGGTAAAGGGATGCAAAGACGTGTCTTTTTAAAGTCTGAGGCAAACAAACACAAGTGAGTTGCACTAATAATCGGGTGATTGCGAACGAGGCAGATGCTTGTGATTGGCGGAAAGGGTGACGTCATGAGGATTGGAATTATGGGAAATGGAGTCCTGGAGCATGTTAGGCAAGGGAGGAGAACCCGGAAGCGTGACAGACAACTGATATGAATAGCTTGCTAAATGTTTGCCTGCATTAAATGTTGGCTAAAAGAGGATTGAGATGTAAACACTCAATTGTCTATGAAGATATTAAGAAAATAATGTTAGTGGATCAAAAATGGCCTATTTCACTGTGGACTAAGCTAACAGGTTCATTTCAACCACTCACGGACTATATCCGCTTTTCTTTGTGAAAATTTGGATGACATACTTTCGCCTTTTCTTTTCTCTCTCCTGGTTTTTGGAAGCCAGAATTTTATTTAGGAAGCTGAGACTTGATGCTCCACCAGCACTCCTCACATGCGATTCACTGCTAGCAAGTACGGTTAAACAGACCAAACCATTTCATGTAAATAGAGAATGGGGTGGGGGTTGGGCAGTACAGACGCTCTCTGGATATTTTTTCCAAAAGCAAGAAAAGAAAAAGATTTTGTTAGCTTTGTATGTACTTTATAAATAATATAGATTAATAATCATACAATTAAATATTTAAATGGTTAAATATCATGCATTATCTGCAAAAACTATGAAAACCATTTGATATATTTTTCAGTAATACATTTTTTGTAGAGGAAATCTGCCTTTAAACTGATTACGTTTGCTGTGTAACATTACTATTTACATTTTAAAAATTACGACTAATCTTTATATTTGTTTTCCCCATTTTTCATTAGTCAGAATTTGCTATATTAAACTTATATTAACACATATTGTGCAGGACACATTTGTATTTATTAGCCTAACAGAGTTGATGAATAATGGGTAACACATTTTATTTAAAGTGAAACCTTTTGGGGCCCCCATAGAAAAAATTTCCTTAAATGAAAAAATGGAAATATATGTCATCAATCTTTCTTTCCAAGCTATTGCTTTATCTCAACCAGTCTGGTGCTCTAAAGTCAGCTAATAAAGTATATTACAAAGTTATTGTAGCTACAAGTCATAGGTGTAAAACTGCATAAGAGGTTTGACTGTCCCACCTGTCAGAAGTTTCACCACTGATATGACATTAGAATAAATATAAAGAAATATAAAAGAAATATTTTCTGTTCAACTAAAGAGAGAACATTTTTCTGCATGTTCCAACCACCAACACGTATTGAAGTTTAATTTAATGAAGTATTAGTCAATTAGGTATGGCTTGATCATAACTGTAAATACTAGCCTGCCTGGAAGAGAGGTCTGTACATGTACCTACTGCTTACACTAAAGATTGCTGAATTTATGCTTTGTTTGTATTTATCTTAGTAATGTTTTTCTAAGTGAATAAACTTTAAATATAATCTAGTTAAGTGGTCTCAGACTTTTGCATAATTCTGTGTTTGTCCAGAAATCTATAGCTCACACATACCTGAGATCAGCAGTGCTAGAAATAAACTCTTGTCCATGTCTGAAGTCCTGGTGACTCTTCTGTCTCGTAGCGCTTTGTCTGTCCAGCAGTGCTTCAGTGAACCTACAGGCTCATTTGTCATTCTTATCTAATTTGAACAGGAATCTGATTTGAATAGTCTTCGAGGCCGTCCTTCATAGCTTCATAGCTGATTTGTATAGTTTTGAAAGTAAAATGAAGAGAGATAAAATGTAGGTGAGTTTCAGTGTTAGAGTTATTTCCATAAGAAACCTACTTTTCGGCACCGCTGTAGCAAACCTGGCTAGTGTGAGAGGAGTGAGGACACTGGAAGCAGAAGTGGGATTATAACAAACAGAACAAAACACATGCAGGCTAAGCTTTTCAGCTATTCTATTAAATACGGACCCCTTCAGCTCTGACTTTTCAGTCTTTTGGTTTCCCAGCTCACTCTGCGTCTGCCCATCTCTCTCTGGTCTCCTACTTGCCTACTGAAAGGAGACATGAACATAAATAGACTACCATAAACAACACACAGGCAGAAACCATAATCTACTCAGCATGCTGGTCTATATAACCATTGGTCAGTAAAAGTGGCATACACTTTATAAGAAGAAAACAGAACCTTTCTGATTTCATTTACCCCTTTTTTTATTAGTGGCATACATCTACATTAGGGGGGGTAACAAGTCTCCCCACCCTTGATCCGAGACAAATCACCAGGTAAGTCCAGCAAGACCTTATATAATACCGCAACATCTTTATAGGGCAAAGTCTTCTTATGATATAATGGTAGAAAATATAAAAAAGGCATGAGCATCAAAACACAACCTTGCAACACCCAATGAGCGTTTTTAATCTGAATTCTACACATCAGATGAAAAGAACCGACCTGTCACCAACACATTTGATAACTTAGTTTTTGTTTTTTTTTTCGCTTACACACATTTCAGCACAAAATGTCTCTGCTCTCAAATGTTCACACACATTCTCAAAACACTACACACATTTAGTAAATTATCCAACCTAAGAGCTAAATGAACGTCTGGCTACAAAACCATGAACATTCTCCTAAAAATGAAACATTCACATCACAATTCTAAACAGATCAATGATATAAATTTGTAAGCAAATCAAGGTTTTCACACTGCAAAGAGAAATTGAGAGCACAGTTGTCTCAGTGAGTGTGCTGCCATCTTTGGACTGTAGAAAATATAGATGTGCAGACTAGAGACACTGAAGAGATAAATCATATAAATTTACTGATTTAAATCCCACAGTCCAAAGACATTCAGTCAGGCCAATTTGACACACTAAATTGCCCCTTTTTGGCAGCTGAAACTCCTGAAACTTTAGCTAGATGGACTTATGCTCGCCATCTTCTGTACAGAGTTAGCCAACCTGAGACCACCTTGGCATCCACATACAGCTGGCCTGCCAGCGCAACTTGCCTGAGGCCCTGGAGTTGGAGCTGGAGAGAGAGATAGTTTGGTCAGCAGCTTCATGGAGCACAGATGTTACCAGTCCTGCAGTCTGAGCTGTGGAGGAGTCAAGTGTGTCACCAAAATCGGCGAGGGAAGGTGAGACGACAGGACTGATACATGGGTTGGCCATACCAACAGCCATACAGCCAGTGGCACAGAGACGCCGGTGCTGGACAGACAGCCGGCAGGGGCATCTGGCTTGGCATGTCCTTTGGGGGGTAAAATCAGTGGGAAAAAATTCGGCCCAGGCAAAAAGAACAGCACAGGCAGCAAACAAACAGTAGCCGTGGTGGGGTAAATGTCCGTCAAACTTCTGCCACATTTAGCAAGATGGGAGCCTCCCCAAAAAATCCTTACTTAGGGCCCCTAAAAGCTGGAGCTACCCCATACGTATTTTTACTTACAACGAAAAGGTTTCTGATCTGTAAAGACATTCAGCTGGAATTGTCCAGTTTTATGACTGTATCTCAGTGTAAACAAAAATGTTGTATGAAAAAAAGTTCTGTTCTTTAAGACGGGCTATCATCAGCAGTGGGCCAAAGCCATCTTTTACATCTAGTTAGAGGAGGGCCAGTTGTACTTTTGTGGACTCGCACAAGATGACTGTGAAATCACTGGGAATCTTCTGTGTAAATCAAGAGTGACTTCAATTTCTCACAGTGATGTCGTTCCATTCAAATTGGCCTAATTCACAGCCTTGAGATTTGAAACTGTGGCGTAAATGGTTCCAGGTTTCATAGGTTGTATCTGTATGATTGAAAGGACAGAAAAAAGTTCAATTAAGTTTGCAGATCCATAATGAAATCAATGAATAATCCTACAATAAAGCACATGTGCAGGTTTTCTCAACCAAAGAAAGTATTACAAACCCTCATATGGATAACAAGACTGAAGCTTCTACACTCTAAAAGCTCTTTAATTGAATCAAATTTAGTTTTCCTTACCTGATCTGGAACGGATTCATAGATGCTAGAAATGCAGGGCTCTGCTGAGATCGACCGCTGCTGAATATTTTTAAGAAAACATGACATATGATGATTAAAAAATAGCATTTGTAGTAACTAAGTATGATTCGAAGCTACTAAATATTTAAGTTCCTTACTGAAAATTTAAGGGCTGGCTCAGATTAAATAATGTTACCTAAATAAGTTACAGACATTGTTCAAGCAAAATAATAAATAATATTCATTCAGCTCTCATCTTTTGGAAAAAAAAGGAGAAATCAGATCTGAGAAATCCACAGATGGGGTGGCTGGTAGTCCAGTGGTAGGAGAGGAGAGCCAGCAACTGGAAGGTTAGGGGTTCAAATGGTAGAACTAATTGAGAATTCCTTAACCCCCCACTGCTCTTCTGGTGATGTTGTTAGGCAGCCAAATGACAAAGACAATGTAATTTTGCAGGATCAATCAAAGTAAAACATAACATAGACCATCCTTCCATTGTGAGGACAACTCAGTGCTATGGGTCTGAACAGATGTGTACTGAGAAAAATAACAAAAAATTAGACAAAGAAGCTGCTGTCCACCTCAGAGTCCAGACCTCAAAATATCTCTGCAGAAGAACTGAAAGCAAGCCTTCTGAAAAACATTAAAGCTGTAATAAAGGTGGAATAAATACTGAAAAAGCAATGTTACATATAGTTCTTGTGGCATATTGTTTGTTAAATGTTGTAGCAGATATAGGAAATGCTTTTGCATGTTGGTTTAGGTTGTTGGGTCTTTGGCAGGTATTTGCAGGATTATTCTGATAAGACCTCATACTGAGAAGACGGGGCTAGTTTTCCCAGCCCATTCGATGTCAGAAGCAAAAGGTTTTGCTGATGAGAGAGATTCAGACTATTCGGATGCCAGCAGCTAAGCTAAGCTACATAGTCCTGGGAGGAGAGATGGAGCACTATGTTTGTATAACTATAGAGGAGTATTACTTTGAGTTTGCATCTTCAAGAGCGTCAGAGCCACCTGGGGTCAGTCATACCAACTGGGAAAGCCATGAGAGAGCAGTGTTGGTGAAGGAAGAGCCAGTGTATTGCCCATGCTGGGAAGCTCCAGCTAGCTCAGATGCTCACCACCATTGAGCGCCGTTCTCGACTTACGTGATGAAAATTCATGTAGATGGCGGCACTCATGAACACCTTTTAGTAGTAAGACTGCTACATACTCTAGTAAAGTGGACTGAGAGGCTTTCCATGCACAATTTGAACTGGTAGCTGAATGATGTGAGTGGTCCAATGAACAGAAATCCCAGCAGCTGACAAGGTTTTAATGATGATGCATTAGCCTGCTTGCTATTGCTAGCAACACGCTAGTGAGAGTTCTGATTGGACTGCAATTGTCAGGGCACTCTGGAGGTGTTTTAGGCAGTGTTTTGGCCCAAGCTCCTTCGGGTTTGAACTAGGTAGTTGCCGAAGACATGCAGGGCCATTTCATAGCCCTAGCTAACAATACAGATACTTTAGCAAGACGAGCTCATGCTCACATGCCAAACAGTGGCTGGTGTGGTAAAAAATTCATATCAAATATGTGCCATATTTCCTTCAACGTTGAAGGAGTACCACGCACTGCACTGGTGGACATGGGGTTGACAGTGAAGTGGCCCAGCCAGAAGTGGTACCTGCTGGGTTTGAGCTGGAAGGCATGGCAGTTTATCTCTCCACTGTGAGGTAGCCAATCATGGCGAGGGGATGGTTGATGGTACAGTCGAAGGCAAGAAGATGTGCCATTTAGTCTGGATAGCTGAGGTCAAAGACGTGCATTCTGGGCCTAGACTTTTTCAGAAGCAACAGGTGCCAAATGAATGGTAATGTAGCGGTTCAGGAAATGCTTTTACATGTTGGTTTACTTTGCTGGTTCATCAGCAATTATTTGCAGGGTTTTTCTGATAAGGACTCTTATTGTGAAGGCAGTGCTAGCTTTCCCCAGGGGGGATATGCATGAGAGCGGGAAGAACTGAGAGTCAACCAAGAGCTGATGGCTGAGAGAGTAAGACATGAGGTGAGTAGGGACCGAACTGTTAGAGAAAAGTCTGGGTGCTAATGGCATAGCTGTGACCAACAACAGCTGAAAAATAAAGCACCATGACTTGTGCGAAAGCTGTGTCTTTTAATAGCTGTAAACGCTACAATGTGTTTCCAGCTTTGAACCCTGATACTGAAAAATGAGTAACTCATACTTAATGTCAGTTTTGACTGGAAATGAAAAAAAGGAAGGTGGTCTCTGACCTTTCAAAAGTAATATAATAGGACACAGTGAGTGATGCATGTGAATTCACACAGAGAAGCAGAGGAGAACAAAACATGCCTTGATGTGGCTGCAGTATGCACTCAAAATGAGTCTGAAAATAACGTTCTAATTTGCTAAGCCTTTTGTTTACACACCTACAGAGCATACTGTGAATTTATCACCTTTTCCTGTGTGCAGTATAATCAACACTCCATGTGCAATATGTTTTCAAAAATCTCTCTATAGTGTAAATATTATTTAGCTTTCTATTTATTTATAATTGTTTATATTGTTAATTAGGATAGAGGGATTTTTTTTAATGTCTTTTATATTATATATATATATATATATATATATATATATATATATATATATATATAGTATATATAGTAACAAGTAACAAACTGTAAAAACCCTTGTTAAGTACTTAACAAAGTTAATTACTTGCTTGTTAACTCTCTTCTTGTTACTTCTTCTCTTTTCATGAGTGCCTTGCTGTCCCTTTGCTGCTGTGATACTGAGAATTTCCCCATTGTGGGACTAATAAAGGATTATCTTATCTTATCTTTAGCTAATTACATAAACTGCACATGCAACTGTGTACTACGTGCAGTAAAATAGAGGAGCCGTCAACGAGCTTGGGGCTAAAGAGAAAGTGCAAGTTCAGTAACAAAGAGGTTGCAGTGTTAATAAACAAAACATTTCTTTATCATTAAAATGTTCTACTCTGGTTTAAAAAATACATTTTGGGAATTAATACCATGGGAAGTCAATGCCACTGGAGCTGTTAGGTGTACTCTGAGAGAATTCTGAGAGTTAAAGTATTTTCTGTGGGCAAATAGAGTTTTAAGCAAAACAGGCAGGCACTACTGGCCACTGGCCACCAGTCATTTTTTGTGCAATCCTTCATTAAATGTACATGTATGAGGGAGAGAAACTGCTGGTGCAAATGGGTTATAGGCTCATATCCATCCCGCACCAAGCAGACAGCATTTTCCACAGTGCAGCTCTAATCAGGCCTTTTAGAAAGTGAATAAAATTGGCTGCACTAATATTTGTATTGCTTTTTACAGCTCTAACTGCATTAAACAACTCCATCACTAGGAGAATTCTAAAAAGTTATGAATGATCAAGAAAAAGTGAATTTAAATGACAACTTTTTGTACATGCTGGCCATTGTCACCTGGTTTTCAGGAACTGGCGTGGTCTGACTGGACTGGCCATTACTTGTAGGTTGTGGTTTCTTCTTTATAACACTGTACACAGTTGAAGGAGCCTCTAGTGCAATAAGTGGTGTTGCTGCACCATTCCTCTGTAAACATGATTATCATGATTATCATCATTATCAAATATGCTGTGTTTCATGTTACCTTCCATAGAAGATTTGACACAAATTAACAATATAAACCTTAAAACCCTGAATCAAATAATTACAGTAATTATTCTCATTAATGTCTAAATGTCTACAGGAAGGAGAATTATATAAATCTTACCTCAACTTCAGCATAGACTGTGTTCTCACACTGTATGGGACCTACGCAGTTTTAAATGAAAAAAATGAAAAAGGGTGAAAAGTAGGTGAAAAAGTAACTGTAGACACAATCCTAAATTTCCAAAGCCATTTTGTCTACATGCTAAATTACCATTGTGAGGCAGAAGCAGACATGTCACAAATAGTAAAAGAAGGAGTAAAGCAGGGCTTCAACACACCATTTCATACTGCTCTTCTTTTAAAATCCACATCCACCCAGATTCTGTCTCTAGTCTTTTATGATCAAGTGCAACTTATTTGTTCTGCACTGAACACAAATAGAACCCTTTAATTCTAAGCTCACAAACTTCCCCTTATTGCTATCACTGATCAGTGATCTTGACTCAGTGACCTCTTCACTTGTAAAAAATATTTAGCCTGCATTTTGCCAGACCAATTAAAAAGATTGAAATATAATTATTTTGCAAATGTGTCGCAATAGTACCATTTGTTATATTTAATTATTTTTAATTAATTGTATATATTTTAAAGAATGTTATGTCCTAGCCTTGTGCTAGGCCACTTCTGGCCACTAGGGGGAGACAAGGCCCCACTAAGGGCTAATTAGGGCTGAGTGGTAACAACTGTGGGCACCCTACTTAAGGGGTGCTCACACTATGCGTGGTCTTAAGTTCACATCGCCATGTGCGTGTATCTGACTAAGCTGTTCATTTCAGTATTGGTTCCTCTTTTGAGTCTTGAGTACTGGTTTCTTGAGTATCTTTCAGTGTAAGTAATAAAAGCGACTGCTGACTGCTTTCCTCTTTAGTTTTCTTTCAGTGGAAACACACTTTGCCCCATGTTGCAAGGTTGTGAGTGCAATCTTGTTTTTCTTTGAGCGCTTGAGTCTGTACTGCTCTTCACTTGAGTCCACCTCTTGTGCTTGGCTGGTGGCTTACCCCAACAAAACCCCAGTAACACATCAAGTGATCAGGTAGCACAGCGTACTTTTAAATGACTGATTTCACTGGAACAGGAAAATAAAACAGAAGATTACTGGGTCGCCGCTGCTGTAAGGTTAGGAGTTTTTCATTGTGTCTGGTTTCTGAACCATCACAATAAATTTGAGTTTCTCAAAGCTGATGTTTCTGTATCCAGCTGTGTTAACTTGCCAGTTAACTGTAACAACTGTTTAAACAACTGCTTTGACCTGCAAATTGCATAATTCAAAAGCTGTTTTTCTGACGGAAAATTGTGAAGAGTGATAATGATAAATGTTTATGTTCACACTGAACATGCATTTGAAATTTGAAAAAAAGACATACCTGTTGATTTCCTCTGGTAAAGATAAAAACTGATGAAGATAACTAGAAGAATGATGACCGCTATGACAACCACAGCAAGCAATAGCAATTGTAGGTGTAGGTCATGTTCCTCTGTACTGTGTTCTCCTAATGAGGGGCAAAAAGATTGTTAATCTTAGAACAAATACAGAATGGATTAAAAAATAAGATGTGCTTGTGTTTGAGCATGTATGTGTGCACACCTTTATCAGCACAGAGTTGTTTAAGTTCTCCCATCTCCAAAACAGCCTCCTTCCAGCTGACTGGGTTGCTATGGTTACAGATAATGCTGCTGCCATTGACAGACAGGGAAAGGGTGATGCCTCCGGGTAATGTCACTTCCTTTTCCTCGCAGGTTTCATCATGGCAGCTGGAGTTGAGAGAGAGGTCATGACCTCTGCAGGTGAGAGTGATGTTGCAGGTGTTGTCGCTGAGCTGGTGAAAGGCAGAAGCCAAGACTGGGGCTTCCACTGGATCTGAGGTGCACACATAGATACAGATCACTGTACTGCTAGTAATGTCACACTAAACACCAGACAACAATAAATCACTTACAGAGGTTATTAGCTTTGTCTGTTTTTCTGTCTCAGAACATAGTTTTAGAGGGCTCGACTCGAATATGACTACGTCAGAACAAAATCATTAAAATAATACTGAGAATAATATGTCTATAGCACTTTTCAGTAACACAGATGCTTACAAGGGTTAAGATAAACAAAACATACAATATAAAAATATACACAGACTAAATAGCCTAGAAGTTTCATTACGTCCTTTTTACATAGACATAAAATGTTATTTACGTCTGTTTTATTGTGTCAGTTGTACATGATTGTTTTATATAAAGAAAGCTGAAGTTGTGCTGTCTGTTTTATCTCAGTATGGTCAAATTTGTTGAGAGGTGTGAATTATTTTCACAGCCTCACTCGTCCCCTTTCACCCCTCCTTGCTCACTAGCAGCTCTACATTTTACACACACAGAGATCCAACCTAGTTATTATGGGGACAAAATATTCTTGTATATAGTTTTTAATTAAAAATATCCTGCAAAAAATGTTAATAATATTTAGAATAAAATATTGCAAATGCCTGTTAATGCTATGTTGTTGCTTATACACAAATATTTTACTTTCTATAAAGTTTTCTTTATTTACACTAACATCATGAACAGTGTTGGGGTCACACAGTACAAAATTACACACCGGCATATCTGGCAAAATGACACGCTTCTCCTGTAACGAAGTATAAGTAACTATATATATATATATATATATATATATATATATATATATATATATATATATATATATATAGTTACTATATATATATATGAAACTAGCTATAGTTTTTCAGACTAAAGTTAGACATAGTTGCGTCTTTTAAATTATTTTTTTACTGTCATTTTCATCTGCTTTACTGGCTATGTCATCCTAAATAAAGTACTGAAAGTGCTGCTGCATTTTCTCTTGAACTTTCCAGATACGTCTCTTGTTAACAAGACGTTAGATCTCAGTAGACTTATGATACTGTATGCACATGGTTAAATAGAGAATAAACACATCAAATTTTGACTGTTTGTTTGATAGCAGCAGGTTTTTTTGCCAGGAATGCATTTTCTTCTTGCCTTAAATCTCACACTGTAAGACTTACCCAACACAGAGAGTCTGTACTTAACAACATCTGTATTCTGTATTCCAGCTGCTTTTGCTTCATACAGTCCACTATCAGTCCTCTGTAAGTTCTTCAGTGTCAGACTGTAGGTTTCATTGTTGAACTCCACTCTGCCTTCATAAGCAGAATAATGTTTACATTTTTTAGTTTCAAAATAATATTTTAAAACATTTTTAGCTCTGTTAAAGACCCAGGATAAGTCATCAAACTCCTGTACAGGATGCTGTGTGTCTAGTCGAACCGAACTGCCAACCAATCCAAACACATCACTGGACTCTGTAGAAAAAACAGACAAATTTTAGTTTTAGTTAAGTGGTTTTTTAAGTCTGTTTTGTTGGTTAGCTTGCTTTTGTCTTTTTGACAGTTTGCATTTGCTTTTTTTTTTGTTACATTACTTGGAAAATATATATCTAATTTTTAGAGCAATTGCACTTCACTCATTAATATTGAGGTCAGATAAATTCTGGCCAAAGAGAAAATGTATCCACTATTTTTTTCCAGCTTTTCTCTCTCTCTCTCTCTCTCTCTCTCTCTCTCTCTCTCTCTCTCTCTCTCTCTCTCTCTCTCTCTCTCTCACTTATCATACAAGAGAGTCAGTACTGTTGAAAATAAAAACTTGAGAAGGTTTGAAATGTAAAGGTGAAACTTATTTCACAGGTGTCTGAAATGCATCCACACTAGGGGTGCGGGAAAAAATCGATTCTTAGATGCATCACGATGCGGACGTGAACGATTCTGAATCGATTCATAAATGTCAAAAATCGATTTTCGAAATATTTAATTTATAACGTAATGTTGACGGAACGCAAAGGGCCGAACTTGGAAGTGCGGAAGTGGGTAAGTGCAGCGCCCGGACAGTCTGTGGCAGCACATAACAAAAACGCTACTGGACGAGCGAGAAATACGACCGGCTCCCTCTGCATTAAAGCCAGGTTAGATCAGGAGTCACAACCCAAATGATGATAAGAGCCATTTTGTCCTTTCGACAAAAATCAGACCACCTTGGGATCCACAACATTTATGTCCAGTATGTGTCAGTATAAGTTAGGCTAAACAATATAAACGAGAGCGCAGATTTACTTCGCTCTGCTTTAAGCTTTACCTACAGCCGCTTTCCTCCTCTTTCCTTCAGGAAAATTTTCCTCAAAACTAGAGCAGCTTATTGTAAAATGTCTCTCAGCTTTCGACTGTTTTACGAGGCTGAAGTCGCTTCTCATTCTCCAGCTTCTTGTTCAGTTTTTCCTGTTCCACCTTAAAGTCTGACTGAGGCGCCGAATGTAAATGCGACACCATTTAAGGTGGAATGGGAGAATTCGAAAGAGAAGCAACTTCATCTTCGTAACTGTTTAGTGTTTGACAGTCTCTCGTTGCAGATTTAACGTTCCAGGAAACCAACTGTGCTGCTTATAAATGTCAATAATGCATCGTTGCTAGGTGACCTGCAGTCTGCACGTTCTCAGTCATTGAGAAACAGGGCTTTCGCACTGTGCTGCACAGCCCCGTCTCGAAGCAGCAATTTTAATTAAGAAAAATCTCCAATTCAAATGTATAAAGGAATTTGCAGCCGACTCTGGCGGAATAATAATACTTTTGGCAGAACTCCGAGCAATATTTATGCATATTAGCAAATATTTATGCTTCCAGTTATCATGCTCAAGTTTTTTTTGGATTCCTAGAAACAAAGCTTGAAAGTATTGGGAATTGCCCAGCAATTTTAGGAGGCGATTTCAATAACGTTATGGATCCTTTTCTTGATCATAGCGCTTCATCATTACGCCCTTATAAAGGTGACAGATGACTGCATGATTGGTGCAAGGAAGTAGGCTTGGTTGATATTTGGCGTCTGCTTAATCCAAATGGGAGGGACTATACATTTTATTGGTCCCCCCATAATACTTTCTCAAGGATAGATTTTTTCCTTATTTGAAATAATTTGATTAATTCAATATCTGCCTGTAGTACAGGAAGCATAATTATTTCTGATCACACGCCAGTATCCATTCAGGAAATTATGTAAAACTCCAAGGTGGAGACTAAACTCTAGTCTGCTGGACGATCAATACTTCACAACTTCACTGCAAAGCCAAATTAATTTTTTTAAAGAAACCAGTATCACTTCAGTTCCCTCTCCTTCTGTGGTTTAGGAAGCATTCAAGGCATACATAAGAGGCTTTATTATTCAACATGCTTCCTATAAAAAGAAACTTAATAGAGCTAAACAAATGGACTTAGAGGGCAAGACTGTACTTGCAGAAAATAAATTCGAGATCAGTTCAACTGCTGAGAATCTAGTCAAATTGACCCAACTAAAATATGAGATAAATTCTATCATAACAAAACAGGCAGAGTTCTCCCTTTTTCAAGCCAGACAGAATTTTTTTGAGGAGGGCGATAAGGCGGGCAAGTTCTTATCTAGATGTATAAAGCAGAAAAAGACTTTAAGTAATATTTCTGTGATTAGGGGGGGTGCAGATACTCTCTCTTATAACCCTCAAGAAGTAAATGATGTCTTTAGAAAGTATTATATCAAACTTTATACAGCAGAAGTACACACAGATACTCAAAACATCACTTCATTTCTTTCTGCTTGTAACCTGCCTAGACTAACCGAGGATCAAACAAATATGCTTGACTGATCCCTCACTAAAGCTGAAGTAATTTCAGTTATCAAACAGCCACCTAAAGCTAAGGCTCCAGGGTTAGATGGTTTCACATCTGAATTTTATAAAACTTATGTAGAGAACCTAGCACTGATGCTTTTAGACATTGTACAATGGATCACTGGCCAGAGGCAGCCTCCCTACATCCCTGTCGGAAGCCTTAATTTCTCTTATTCTGAAAAAGGATAAAGATCCTTTGGAGTGCAAAAACTACAGACCAATTAGCTTAATCCCCTGTGACAGCAAAATCATCTCTAAAATACTAGCTAATAGACTAGACAAAGTTATCTCATCGTTGGTCCACTCAGACCAGGTTGGATTTAAAAAGGCCCGTGCTATAACGGACAACATGAGACGTCGCATTAATATTATGTGGGAGGCGTCATTGATCTCTTTTCCCATCGCCACTATATCTCTCGTTGCTGAGAAGGTTTTTGACAGGGTGGAGTGGAAATATTTGTTTTAAACCATGGAAGCCTTGGCTTTGGGAATAATTTTATTTGATGGATCAAGCTTATTTATAGTCAAGTCAAGTCAAATTTATTTATATAGCGCCTTTTACAACAGATGTTGTCACAAAGCAGCTTTACAAAGAATCCGGGTCCACGCCCCCAGTGAGCAAGCCTTGGTGACAGTGGCAAGGAAAAACTCCCTCAACAGCATTTCTTAATTTAGCGATGTTACGCAGGTGGAGGAAAGCTATTCTGGTAATATTGGTAATATGCTCATCGAAGGCCAGACTGGGATCAATCGTGACACCAAGACTTTTTACAGATGTGTCTGGTGCAATTGAGAAACTATCGAGATTAAGAGTAAATGTAGGCAGATTATCCCTAGCAGCTTTTGGACCAAGAAGAAGGACTTCTGTTTTGTCCGAATTTAGTAAAAGGAAGTTGCTTGACATCCATTCTTTAATGTCTTTTACACAGTCCTCTATCTTATTAAGTTCAATTTTGTCCTCTGGTTTAGCTGAAATATATAATTGTGTATCATCGGCATAGCAGTGGAAATTGATGCCATGTTTTCTAATGATGGTACCTAGTGGTAGCATATACAAGGTAAATAATCTGGGTCCTAAGACAGAGCCCTGTGGAACACCATACTTTACTCTTGTGAGAGCTGATGGTTCACCATTTACATTAACAAACTTAAAGCGATCACTAAGGTAAGATTTGAACCACGAAAGAGCTTTACCTGTCACTCCTACTAGTTTCTCAAGCCTGTCTAATAGAATGGAATGGTCTATTGTGTCAAAAGCTGCACTAAGATCGAGTAAAACCAGTAAGGATATGTTTCCTTTGTCAGCGGATAATAAAAGATCATTTACAATTTTCACTAACACTGTTTCGGTACTATGGTGAGGCCTGAAGCCGGACTGAAATTTTTCATATATATTACTCCTATGCAGATGGGAACATAATTGTTTTGCCACTGCTTTCTCTAAAATTTTTGATGAAAAGGGAAGATTTGAAATAGGTCTATAGTTTGAAAGCTCAGAGGGGTCAAGACTAGGTTTCTTTATTAGGGGTTTAAGTCATTGTTAGGTCATTGTACCATGGAGCGAGCCTTTTCTGCCTCATTCTTATACTTTTTAATGGAGCCACATTATCTAAAGTAGAGCGAAAAGTGTCTTCCAAACATTTAGTCAGCATATCTAATCCATTGGGTTCAGACGGACAACTAATTAAGGACGAAAGATCTGGAAGGTTTTCAATAAAGCTATTGGGTGTAGACGATGTTATAGTACGTTTAACACTATAGCGTGTGGATGGACATATATTACGACTAAAACTGATTTCATATGAGATTAAGTAGTGATCTGACACTGCTGTGGTCTGAGGAAGGATGGCCAAATGCTTAATGTCTATACCTAAGGTCAATATTAAGTCTAGAGTATAGTTACAGTAATGAGTAGGCCCCATAATATTTTGAGTGAAGCCAAAACAGTCTAAAATAGATATGAATGCCTTACTTAGCGGATCCTGTGGTTTGTCTATGTGGATATTAAAATCTCCAACAATTATTACTTTATTCGAGATTGTTATTAAACTAGATAACAGGTCAGTAAATTCCTGTAAAAACTCAGAGTAAGGCCCTGGTGGCCTGTAGATTATGATAAGCGAAAATGAGCTCTCATTTGTTCCTCGACTGCTAACATTGAGAAACTGAATTTCAAAGGAAGAGAAACTACGGTCTGCTTTCCGGTTTAGTCTGCTTTCCGGTTTAGTCTACTTCACCTATGGCCAGGGCTATCACTAATGGCATTATATTTCCCCCTTTTGTTTTGGAAAGGGGTATTTTGACACATCTACAATGGATATGGAAGAAAACCTCGTCACTGCTTCAGTTTAACCCATACCTAACCTCCTCTGCTGGAATATGATATAACTCCAGACTACTTATAGGTAAATCCCCATTCTTTTGGAAAGAATGGTTTCAAAGAGGCATTAAAACGATAGGTGACCTATACTGTAGTGACTCACTTAAGTCCTTTGACTGTCTTAAACAACAGTGTAACCTACCGCCAAACCAGTTCTGGAGATATTGTCAAACACGAAATCTATTGAAGCAAACCTCTGGCTCCTTGATAGTATGTCCCTCTAAGGCAGATGTTTC